TTTTCAAGAGAAAAACAACAAAACAAATTTATTCAGTAATTCCAACCACCACCAGTAGCTGATGTTATCTGAAAAGGACACAACTTAAATGTAATGACACAGAAAGGTTAAAAGTAGAGGGCAAAAGAAGATAAATTAGGCATAAACTAATTTTTTATAGTTGCCATGTAGCTTCTTTAATGTCATCCAAAAGAATTTTTTTTCAATGAAAAAGTAGTTTTAGTCACAAAGTCAATACACAATAATAGAGAAAGCAATTCTCCAGGAAGATGAAACCATTTAAAATTTTTTTTAATTTTAATTTTTGAGAGAAAGAGAGGCAGAGGATGAGCGGGGGAGTGGCGAGAGAGAGAGGGAGACACAGAATGTGAAGCCGGCTCCAGGCTGAGCCATCAGCACAGGACCTGATGCAGGGCTCAACCGCAGGAACTGTGAGATCATGCCTTGAGCTGCAGTTGGCTGCTTAACTGACGGAGCCACCAGGTGCCCTGAGATGAAACCATTTTGATCGTGTAGGCGAATGTATGCTAACGGAAACACGATTTGCTCCTACCTTCCATAAGGAGAGATGCTCCTGCATCACGTTCGGTCTCTGTCGCCTTACTCACTCAGCCCGTGGGAGTAACTTGTCTGACTGTCACAATGGCACTGAAAGATGCCACGTGTAGTTCACTTTGCCCTTGCCTTCTCCCTCTTGGAAGTGAGCTGTCCTCAGGGGCTCTGCTCCTTGTAGCGGGGGTCGCCCTGGTCTAGAGCTGCCTGCAGCTGGAGGGGGGATGCCTGCCCCTTCTGGGGTTTGTGTGCAGGCTCTTTCGGTTCTCAAATCAAGATCTGTCTGAGCCTTATCAGCAATGATGATGACACTTTGTCCTGCTTCTTTACTTCTTGTTTTATTTCTCAATATAATCAGGCTCAGGCAGGAAAGAGGGTGTTATTTATTGGAGACCACTTCAAAAACCCCAATAGCACACAATCACAGAGCCTTAAATATATACAGAAAGAGCAAAAATGTACAGAACTATGAGGAAAAATTGAGAAATCCATAGTCATGTGGGGAAGCTTAGAACGGCATAGGTAACAAGTTTGATCTAAATGAAGAATACAGGGGCGCCTGGGTGGCTCAGTCGGTTAAGCATCTGATTTTGGCTCAGGTCATGATCTCATGGTTCGTGGGTTCAAGCCCCGCATCGGGCTCTGTGCTGACCACCAGCTCAGAGCCTGGAGCCTGTTTCAGATTCTTTGTCTCCCTCTCTCTCTGACCCTCCTCTGCTCTCTCTCTCTCTCTCTCTCTCTCTCTTTTTCTCTTTCTCAGAAATAAATAAAACATTAAAAAAATTTAAAAAAATAAATAAATGAAGAATACAGAACTTGGCTCCCAATAATTAGAGAACATACATTCTTTCAAGAATTCTATAATATTTATAAAATTTTATCATGTACTGGGCCACAAAGCAAGTTGCAACAAATTTTAAAAATCCAGTTTAATTTTTTTTAGTTTTTTTAAAAAATGTTTTATTTTTTAGAGAGAGACAGAGCGTGAGCAGGAGAGGGGCAGAGAGAGAGGGAGACACAGAATCTGAAGCAGGTAACTGAGCTGTCATAAGAGAGTCTAACACAGGGCTCAAACTCTCAAACCATGAGATCATGACCTGAGCTGAAGTTGGATGCTTAACTGGCTGAGCCACCCAGGCACCCCTAAAAAATCCACTTTATTTAATTAGAACAGATTCTCCAAGTTCAATGTAATTAAGTATGAAGTTAATAACTATAAAACCGACAAACATAACTATTCCCTTGCATCTGGACAACTGAAGCACACTTCTAAATAATCCACAGTTTGCACAAATCATAATGGTGTTAGAAAATATTTATAACAACAAAAATGAAAAGAACAGCAACCAAACCCGTGAGGCGCAGGCAATCGCTAAAAGAAAATGTGTTGTAAGACTGAAAATCAAGAGTTAACTGTTCAGTTCAAGAAGCTGAAAAGTAAGATAGAGGAAACTCCTCCTCCTTTCAAATCAGAGGTTTTGATGGAATTCCTAAGATGATCCTATTTATGTGGAAGGATAAAGGGCCAAGGATAGCTTTGACGATTTTAGAGAATAAGGAGGGTAAGCGGACTCTACCAAACAGAAAGATAAAAGATCAAAGCTCCACATGACTGAAACTGTGTCATATTGGTGCAGCTAGAGAGAGATAGACCAGGGATCCTCAGGCTCTGGCCTGTGTACCAAATCCAGCCCACTGCCCATTTTGGAAATCAAGTTTTCTTGGAGCATGGCCCCACTTGCTAGCTCCTTCTGCAGTACAAAAGTGGGGTGGAGTTATGTGGGAGACTCTCAGGCTCACAAACCATAAAATATTAACTGTCTGGCTCTTTACAGAAAAATTTTGCTGACCCGTGAAAGGAAATAAAAGACCAATGGCAAATGGCATTTCAGTACAATTGTGAAAGAGTGAAATATTCAGTTAGTGGATTTGGATCAACTGATTATACATATGGGAAAAAATAAAAGTAGATCTCTTCTTTACACATTACCAAAAAAAATATATTGTAGAAAGGTTAAAGACCTAAATATGAAAAGTAAAGCTCTCAAAGTTGTAGATAAAAATGTATGCAATATCTCCTGAACTTGTGAGGGGGAAGAATCTGTTAAATAATACATGAAAATCTTCAACTGCAAAGGAAAAGATTGATAAATTCGATTATATTCAAAGTGGAAACTCCTGTACAATAGAAAACTTCATATACCAAGTTAAAAGACCAGTTACATGCAGGGAAGAGAGATTCACAATGTGTATGGCAGAAAAAAAGGTTAGTTTCCAGAATATATAAAAAATTATAAATCCAGTGCCCCTGAGTGGCATAGTTGATTGAGCATCAGACTTCAGCTTAGGTCGACCTCACGGTTTGTGAGTTCAAGCCCCACATAGGCTCACTGCTGTCAGTGCAAAGCCTGCTTTGGATCTCTGTCCCCCTCTCTCTCTGCCTCTTCCCTGCTCTTGTCTCCCCTCTCTCTCAAAAATAAATAAAGCATTAAAAAAAAGAATTATAGGGGCGCCTGGGTGGCTTAGTTGGTTAAGCGTCCGACTTTCGCTTAGGTCATGATCTTGCAGTTCGTGGGTTCGAGCCCCGCGTCGGGCTCTGTGCTGACTGCCAGCTCGGAGCCTGGAGCCTGTTTCAGAGTCTGTGTCTCTCTCTCTCTGACCCTCCCCTGCTCATGCTGTCTCTCTCTCTCTCTCCTAGAAATAAATAAAACATTTAAAAAAATTAAAATTTTTTTTATTTATTAAAAATTTTTAATTAATTTTAATTAATTAAAAATTAATTTATAATTAAAAAAAGAATTATAAATCATTAAGAAAAAAGACAAACAATGGAAAAGTAGACAAAGGATATTTCTGAATGGGCAATTCACAGAATTCACAGAATCCTAGGTGGGTTACACAAAGATTTTTATCTCATTAGCAATCAGGAAAATGAAAATAACAGTAAGATATAATTTCATCAGTTAGATTACATTGAGTGTTGTTGACAAGATGTAGGGAAATCATCAGGTTTTATTCATTGCTGGTAGTAGTATGTATCAGTGTGACCGGTTAGGAGAACAACTTAGTAATACTTGGTAAAGGTGAAGACGCACAAACCCTGTGACGTCCCCTTTCCAGGAATCTTCTCTTGAGAGCCGATTGCACAAGGGCCCTAGGAGACATGTATAAGCATGTCTGGGGCAGCTTCATTAAGAACAGAAAAAATTAGGGGCTCCTGGGTGACTCAGTTGGTTGAGAATCTGACTTTGTCTCAGGTCATGATCTCATGGTTCATGAGTTCAAGCCCCACGTTGGGCTCTGTGCTGATAGCTCAGAGCCTAGAGCCTATTTCAGATTCTGTGTCTTCCTTTCCCTTTGAGCCCCCCCATCCCCACTCATTTTCTGTCTTTCTCTGTCTCAAAAATAAATACATATTAAAAAAATTACTGAGAATTCAAAAAAATTACTGAGCATTCAAAGGATTTTATGTTTATGTGAATACATATATTGATATTTACTATATTCAAAATTGAAACTAAGAACGTTTAGTATCTTGTTAACCATTTAAAAATAAGAATAAACCCATTACACATTAACATAAATGACATATTTGTATTATCCAAGAAAGAAATGTTTGGTTTAATAGTAGATAGCTGGGTTTTCACATCTGCATCCAATTTTTTGCAATATGTTGTCTTGGTTGAAGTATATGAAGAAAATCTTGCTTTATCCAGATATGTAGTTGGGAAGGGAGAAGTATTTTAATAGCTTTTTCATATAATTATGGATATACTTTGATGCTACACTAAAATTTGATAAATGGTAGTTTCTTAAAAGTTAGCTGCAGTGTTAATGCTTAGGTTTTAATGTAACCTAAAGCCACGTTAAGGCCTCAGACTGTTGGTCCCTCTTGCTCAGGAACAATTCTGGGTTTTTTTTTCCTTATATGTGATTTCGTAACATCAACCATTTGGAAAACACTGACTCACTGAGTTATGCAAATTTTCCAAATGTTGACACATTTCATTATAGAAGATCCAAGACAAGCCCCACACATTTGCTGATATCACCAACGATCACAGCAGAAGTCATTAGGTATTGGGAAGCTTTCATGCTTATAGCAGCAAATGCATATTTTAAAAAATCCTACTTTTGCTTGAAAGATCAAAGCTTACTGTTGGCTACAAACACTGTTAGATGCTTTCCTTAAAGAAGTAGGCTCACTTAATTTTTAAGAACATGTGCCCAATACCCAAGTCTGAGTAACCAGAGATTATCTATCAGTCATGCTTTCAAGTAAAAATGGTGGTATGTGGGGGGAAAGGGCTAGTTTAGCTTGCAACTCAAATGATCACGTAATGCTTTTTCCTGAGAAAACCATCATGCTTTGGTATGCAGTGGAATTGCTTTATGTGTACTTTGCATGTTAACACACAGAATATTTTTAGGAGCCTTTTTCTAAGCAGCCAGGAAGACAGTAGACATTCAGACTGAGAGTGCCTACCAAAAACAGCCAACCGTCTTTCAAAACAAGAAGAGGGTCCTGCTTGGAGAAGCTGGCAAGGAGAAGCTCCCGCAATACTACAAAAACATTGGTCTGGGCTTCAAGATGCCCAAGGAGGCCATTGAGGGCACCTATATTGACAAGAAATGCCCCTTGACTGGTAACATCTCCATCGGAGGGTGGATTCTGTCTGGTGTGGTGACCAAGATGAAGATGCAGAGGACCACTGTTATCTACCGAGACTACCTCCACTACATCCAAAAGTACAACCACTTTGAGAAACGCCACAAGAACATGTCTGTGCACTTCAGGGATGTCCAGATCAGCAACATCATCCCAGTGGGTGAGTGCTGGCCCTTGAGCAAGATTGTGTACTTCAATGTACTCAAAGTCACAAAGGCCCCTGGCACCAAGAAACAATTCCAGAAGTTCTGAGGCTAGATGTCTGCCCACACCCCCAAAGAAAATAGTTATTTTCCCAGTCAAAAAAAAAAAAAAAAAAAAGGAAAAGAAAAGAAAGAATATTTTTAGGAAATGTTTATTTAAGGACTGAGACTTAATAAAATTAATAATTTGCACTGCTTCATCAGGGGCATTAACTGAAATGCTTTCTTACTTTCTTTGAGTGCACAGAGTGAAGCGCACAACTTCTAGTGCATAGTACTGTGTGATTCCATGGTCTTAATTTGTGCTAAGGCACCTGCTATTTTTCCTACCATTGCTTTTGTTCCATCAATGCAAATGTCAACACAACGAAACATCATGAAAATAGTTTTGATCTTGTGCATCTCCTGAAACCGTCTTGAGGTCTTATATGCTGAGAATTGCTGCTAGAGGAAATGGGGGCACATGGCCAAATTTGCAATTCAGGAAGACTGCTCTGATAGTAGCATGGACGCTGAGCTATTTAGGATCCACCTGGAGGCAGGGATTACGGTAGTGTTCCAGGAAAGACGATGAGGGCTGTGGACTAGGACAGAGGTTACAGGCATAGGGAGCATAGGGACAAGAAAAATCATGAGTCCAGGAGGACTCTAGGCTTCCATGACTGCATGACAGGATTTACTGAGTTGGGATACTCAGGGAAGCAGCGGCTTGGGGGCACACTCATGGAGTTCAGCTTTAGTTATGTTGATATTGAAGTGCTGTCCATGGGGAGATGTCTGGGGGGAGCTGATTATATGCACACTGAGATATACATTTGAGAGCTGAGAGTAGAGATAAGAATCCAACCTTGGAGGATAAGTCCAGAGGCTAGAACACACCAACCTAATGTTAGGCTTTAGTGAGCAGGTAGAGAAAGAGGGATCCACATAGGAGACTGAGGGGGAATCATATAAAAGATAGGAGAACCGTAGGAGATTAGTGTCATGGAAAGCAAAAGAGTGCCTCCAGAAGGCAACGAAGGCAAATGCTACAGCGATGTAAGACCTAAACGGAGTCCACTAACATGTAAGCTCCAAGAAATACTTTATAGCACCACGTCCTAGAGCCTGCAACATTGCCTGGTTCAGAGGAGATGCAGAATGAAATCTCATTGAATGAATAAATGAATGTGTTGGATATGGCCATTGAAGGCCATTGATAACCTCTGTTGTAGTGGTTCTATGGTGTTTGGAGATGAAAGCCTGGCAGCTGTGTATCGAAAAGTAAATGAAAGGAGGGGGTGAACTTGGTTAACAAAGGAAAGGAAGAGATAAAGAGCTTGCAACTGTCCCAGGGTAAGGGAGGGCTTATACTGAGTGGGTCAATTTTTCTTCTTAGGATGAAAGAGACATTTGAGTGTGTTTTTTAAGCTCTGGGGAGAAGGATCATTTGAAAGGGAAATGTTGACAATCATGATGAATTCCAAACCTCGCATTCACAATTCCCTGTCTTCCTGCAATCTCTTTGGTCCCCAGAGTCATAAGTGGCTTGAAGAAATACTTTCTCCTTGATACAAGGAGCAAACTGGTGGTTGTACCGATCACCTACAAGGAAGTCACTGCTGAGAAATCAGTCACTGCCCCTTACTGTGTCCTTCCTTCCTAGCACCAGACTGTAATTTCTCCCATCCTTCATAGCCTGGGCCTCTCAGGCATTACTGGATTTCGAGGCAGCCCACCCAAGATGAAGCGCCAATCTCTATCATGAGGAGTCCAGCCACGGGAACTACTTCCAGTTTCTCAGGAGTGCCTTCTTCCCTCATACCTCCAAGCCTCTTCTTCCTCTCCATCTCAACTGGCTTACCACACTAGAGAGCCCAGTGTGGATACCCTCCCCTGTGCCTCCTCTATCATGGCACTCATCACACTAGATGGTAAATGCTCATTTGCAATCCCTGCTTCCCCCGCCAGCCTAGGAGCTCTGGGAAAGTAGGGGTGCCTTGTTCTCTGTGTATCCCCAGTACCTAACACATAGGAAGTCTCACTCAAAGTGCGGTGCCACGAATGAATGAACAAACTCCTTATCTTTTTTCGTCCTGATTCTCTTCGTGAGGAAAGAAGACCCAGGCAAAGCAGCAGACTTGGAGCCAGGATCCTAAGAGTTGCTTTAGGATATATGCAGTGTCTCTCTAGAATCCCATCATTACCTATAGACTTAAGCTGCAAGCAGCCGGCAGACTTGGAGGCAGTGAAGACTACATCATAATAACTGTCTATTAAACTTCAAAGGGAGAAAAATTAAAAACACGAATACAGCTAATTGCTGGCTGCCACAAATTGGTTCCTGGGCATTATAAATGGTTTAATAGTTGGTCTAGATACCATTGCGATAGGTCCGTGCCATATATAAAGACAAACACAGAGAGATTCAGAGATAACTAACAGAGCCTGTGACCTCACCCAGTCGCAGCTCCATAGCCTAAAGGGAAGACTTTTACCAGTTCTGTGTGTTTGGCATAATTATCTGTCGCCAAGTAGCCAAAAATGACTCTCTTGTTTAACAATTACATTACCTAAAGACACCCAGTCTAGGTGAAACAGACGATACAATTACTATCTTACTATCCCAGGCTGAGAGTCAGGAGGCCTGGAGTCAGATCGGGCTCTGAAGCAACCAGCTGTGTGCCCACAGGCCAGTCGCCTGTCTCTATTACTCAATGTACTTGTTACAGTATATACAGTCATGTATTCTCTTATTCATTTATTTAATTTGTTCACTTATTCATTTATTAAGAACCTACTGCATTCCCGGCACAATGCTGGGTACTGGGGATACCTGGAGGAATAAGACGAAATCCCTGACATTATTACAGTCATACCTACAAAGGCATGCAGAGAAACCAAAAGAACACAGTATGACAATGCTGTTGAGGTATATACAGGCGCTGAAGAGGGCCCAGGGGAGGTCTGCACAGGCACTTCAGGGCGGGGGGCAGAGGAGGTCTGCACAGGTGCTGCAGGGGGGACAGAGGAGGTCTGCACAGGCGCTGCAGGTTGTGGGGGGCAGGGGAGGTCTGCGCAGGCACCCCAGGGGTACAGGGGAGAGGGTGCCTGAAACTTTGCTGGGAGAAAAGGGTTAAGTCTGGAGAGGGAGAGATCTCTGAACTGGGCTTTAAATGATTACAAGTTTGCCAAGTTAAGACGCAAGTAAACCCACTGAGGAATTAAAGGCACAGTGTAGCAGAGATACATGAAAAAGAAATGTTTAGGAAACTGAATGCTGGGGGGGTGTAGTTAGACCATTAGGGGCCTGCTAGGGTCAGCTAACTCTCTGGGAGGTCTCTGGGCATTTTGTAGGCTATCGGACAGTGGTTCTCAAACCTGAGGGTGCACCAGTATTATCTGAAGGCTTGTTAAGCCACAGACTGCTGGGTCCCTCCCCCAGAATTTGTGATTGAGAGGATCTGGGGCAAACAAGTTTTCAGGTACCAAAACTGCTGCTAGTCCTGGGGACACCCTTTGGGAAGCAGTGTATTAGGGAGCCTGCCCTTTTTTTTTTTTAAGTGTATTTATTTTGAGAGGGAGAGGGAGAGAGCAAGAGAGAGCAGGGGAGGGGGCAGGGAGAGGCGGGGAGAGAGAGAATCCCAAGCAGGCTCTACACTGTTAGCGCAGAGCCCACCCCAGGGATCAAATCCATGAACTGTGAGATCATGACCTGAGCTGAAACCAAGAGTCTGATGCTAAACGCCTGAGTCACCAGGCACCGTGGGAGCCTCCCCTTCTGATGCTTGTATGAGCAGTTGGCTCTACACAGAGCAGGTTGGAAGGAAACAGGCGGAGAGCAGAGAGGCCACTAGGAGGCTTGTAGGGGATCCTAGAAATAAAACTTCTGTCAACTTCCATTAAGTCAAGAGACTCCAGTTCATCTTAAGCCCTTGTATTTATTTATTAGCTTGATACTGGGGCCTGAAATTTTTACCACTAGAGCTTTCTTCATTTGGATTCTCAAAGGCTTCCTATTTCAACACAAATACTTCTGGAAGAGGCAGCACATGAAATTGCTATGAGCTATTTACTAAACAGTGTTTATTCAACTAGGAGATCCTTTCTACGCCTGACTTGGATGAGATGCTGATCATTTTTAATCCCCCAGGAGAGGACTTGGGCTCCAGTGCTGGTTTGTGTCACACCCTGGCAGCAGGACACTGCCCAAGTCACTTACCTCCCTGAGCCTCAGTCTCAGTTTTCTCCTTGGTGAAATGGGGATCATAACAACACCTGCCACACAGCGTTTTTATTGTTGTTGTTGTTCATTTTTGTTTTTTTATGATTGCATTTAGAGAATGTATAAGAGCTCTTGGAAAGTATCAAGTGCCAAACAGAAGTACTAAAAGATATGTGCATGCACACACACACACACATAATACACAGTCGTATCTTTTAGTACTTCTTTTAGCATACTGAAAACTCCAGAAGATTCTCAATGCATCCAAGAAATTTGTCAAGCCTCTTGGTTGTTGCTCTCTATGTGTGTGCGTGTGTATGAGAGAGGAAGAAGGTGGGGAGTGAGACAGCATATGTCAAAGTGGAAGGAGGAGGCTAATATTTCCATTTTTACCTTTGGGCTTCGGGTCGTGTTTCCAACAGCATTTTAGAAGATTTCTACATTAAAAACAGATTAGGACTCAGAAGCTTTACAGTTGGTGATTTCTCCTTGCTATCAAATAAAAATTCTTCCTGGGGTCTTTAGGGACTTTCTGGGCTCTCTGTGGAATATTTACAGTTTTCCACAAGGCCAGGAATAGTCAGTATTGATGAGGCTCAGACAGAATGCATCCAATCCCTTGAAACAAATTCGTGTCTAGCCAGTTCTACAAAACCTTCCCTTAACCTTGGTGTAATTCTCCACCTCCAGGGTACTGAGAGGCCAGGTTTAAAGAACTCCTTTTACTAAATGTGATTGAAGTTTTCCTTTCGTCAGGGAGGGCTGCACAGAGGATGTAACATGTTATTCTAGAGTGCGTTGGCAGGCGCGCCCGGGAATGGCAAGCTATCAGCTTACCCACAAGT